CATATTATTGAAAAGTTAAATGTCTTAAATCTGTTAGTTAAATAAATGTGTCCTATTAAACCACCCAGTTAAATCGATGGTACTACTAAAAGTAGAAGACGATCACTTCGTGTGGTGAGTTTTTATATATAACATTTCTGCTTCACCTCTTTTTCACGTAATTGTTTTACTGACTTTTCTTGATTTTAACATCTTTCATGGCTTTTATATTCTTAATGTAATATCAACAATTGTTGTTACATAGCTGTCCATCTTCTTTCATGTTTCAACATATGGAGAGTCTTTTAGTCTGACTTTTTTTTAACTCACCTGGGCCAAAAAAAAAAACATGTGATCTTCTCTCATCACTTAACGTCCGTCGTCCGTTAACTTTTACAAACATCTTGAAACTACTTGGCCAAATTTCACTTAACTTAACCACAAGCATCATTTGTGGTATCTAGTTTAAAAACGTGTTCGATTACCCTCACTGCCAACAAACATAGCTAGAGATAGATTAAATGGGTAAAACGCATGTTTTGAAACCGCTATAAAATGAGAAAATCTGACATAGACAGAAATGTTAAGAATGTTGAGATCTGATTAATGTCCTTGACATCAAAGCTGTCAGATAACTTCTTATACATTGTAGGAATTGTTGCCCTCAAATTACAAATTTGGCCAATTGTTTTCAGTTTTATCTAGTATCTCTTAAACTGTAATAGAAAGAGAAAAAATTTAATAGCAAAAATGTTAAGCAAGACAAGACCTATAAATTTGTCAACATGGGAGAAATAGTCCGACGACTCCTTATTTAAGTTATTGCACTTTAATGACCATTTTTATCAATTTTGCGGTTTTGCTTTATATCTTAAAAGCTATAATAGATAGACAGATAAAAACTCAAATAAATAATAAAGATCAGCAAGACAAGATCTGCAAATAAGTCTAAAGGTCGATATCACCAGTCGACACACTATTGGAGTTATTGCTCTTTAATATTTACTCATTTTAGTGGTTTTGTCTTTTAGGCCAAAAAAAATATTTGTGTTTCCTATTACATCAGTTTTCAAAATAGGGTAGGTAGGTAGGTTTTTTTTATCGGAGGGGGTAGGGTGGGAGTGTTCGATAGATTTAGATTTGCCAGTGATCAAAAGGCAAGAATGTAGCTATACGGTACAGCAAAACCCGTGATGTAAATAAAAGGCAACAGTAGTATACCGCTGTTAAAAAGTCATAAATCGATTAATAGAAAACAAATGCGGGTTACAAACTAAAACCGAGGGAAACACATCAACTATAAGATGAAAACAACGAAACAACAGAAGAACTGAACTGCAAAAAAAAAAAACGCCAACATACATAGAAACGGACTATTTGATACCAACTGCCATATTCCTGACTTGGAACAAAAAAATGGTGGGCTGAACCTGGTTTTATGGCTAGCCAAAACTCCCGCGTATATGGCAAAGTTAAAAAAATACCGCTACAATGACAACACTACGTTACAGGAATACAGTACAAACAAACGCAAGAACACTCAGCACAGAGAAATAAATAATATAATAGTACATTATAACATGTAAACTGCAGAATAACAACGGACATCTCCCATGAATTTGTTAAAACAACAGCACAGGACACCACAAACTACACGTCACATGAATGGATCAACTCCACAAAAAAGTGACGTATACATTATCAAAGGTAATCTTGAAATTCATACAATTATATGTAACGAGATCCAAAAATTCACAATTATTTTCACAATACTAGTTCAAATAATTATCATGATTATGGCGGTCTTGAAAGGCTATTTGAATTCATGCTGTGGCGACGTCATAATTATTTGGACTAACACAATACTTTATCTATGGAAAATGGAAATTAACGCGACTATACTGACGAATAAGACATATGTGAAATGTACCGAAAATACCGAATTCTAACCACAAACGATAAGACATAAATAGATTTGACTGCGACTAAGTGGGTTCTATTTATCTCAGCTTTATAATTAGTGCATCTTCAATATTTGTAAACCTGTGTATTTATTTATATCTGATAATGAAGTATCAAGCCATTAGATATCAAACTATTCTGTTAATGAAATTCATTATTTATTATTAAAAATGTATAAAGTTAAAAAATTTAACAAAGGACAAGGTACGATAAGGGGCAACTTAAATCAACGAATTGAAACACTTCATTTGCATTTAAATATATACATGTTTTGTACTTGTAAATACGGTGATCCAACCAAATGTTTATTAATGTGTGCTGAATGCGTATTTTTCACTTTTGCGGTAATTATTCTTCTGTCATCTGTGTCATTCGTGAGTCTGTAGTTATTATCGTAAGAATGGAGTTCCGTTGATCCGTTTCCGACCGGAGATTCGTTTAAATTGTCAATGGCGGACAAACAACAAATGCAAGATGACAAACTTTCAGAAGCGATTTGGAAAGGAACATGAAGTTTTTAATGCAATAAATGAAGAAACTATATTTGTTGTAGCGAAAATAAGAATCGGTTGATCTAATCACATAAAAAGTGTTAAGGTCGGCAAAACGGCCGTAAAAAAAAATAAGGTCGGTTGAGTAACCGGAAACACATATATATTATTATTTGGCCTTAAAATGGAAAATATAATAGAAAGATAGACACTTCAAATAGCAAAATATATCAATAAGACAATATCTACAAATAAGTCAACGTGACCGAAACACTTTTTGGGGTTCTATCTTTTTAATGACAATTTTTATTTATTTTTTACGAAGTTTAATTTTTCCGAAATCGTTTATTTAGACTCAGTAAACTCTGTATAGGAGTGATTGCTCTTCAAAGATTTTTTTTTACCTTGATATGTCTAAATATGTGAGGTTACCGGCAGATCGCTATTTATGGCAACCGTACTGTCAAATATATGTATAAATAACTACCTTAGATTGTGTTAACTGAAGATAAGATTAAAGCAATTTGGATAACCGTTGAACAACAGGTGAGGGATCAATATCCTTACATTGTCCATCTGTAGTTAATGATACTATTTATCAGACAAAATGTATTAAAGCATTGAATTCTGCCAGACTGACAGTTAAACCAGACATTGGTTACACTGTCCATCACCATAAAATGGATGATCGCTACCTAGCTGCGTGCCAAATACATTCATCAATAATTATAAAATATTTTCAATCTAATAAAAAAGAAAAATTGTTAACTATATATACAAATTATATTATTCAAAAGAAGTTGTGCTGCAGGTACACCTTTTTTCTTTCTAAATTGTAATTCATTCTTCTGTTGCAGTACATGAAAATGCATGAATACTTAATATTTTATAAATGAAAACAATAAGACCTTGAATAGTGTTCAGGAAAATAATGTTTCTTACAATTAACAGAGTCACCCTATCAGGCATCTGATTTAAATATGTTTTCACTTCTGGACATGTTTCACAATGTCCCAGAATCCAAATCTTGACAGGTTAACGAATTATTATGTACAATTTGAAAACAAATTGTTTGCTTTTTTTCAAGAATATTAAAGCTATATAATCTATGTAAATTTCTGTACACATTTCCCATTGTCAGTAAAACAAGTTCACAAATAAGTTACTATTGTTTATATTTCAATTACCTTCTATTCACAATACTTACCGGTGTTTGGTCTTATTTGTGGAAGAAAATATTATATTGTTTGACTCAACAGTTTATACCTGGATGATGACCATCACACTGTAAGCCTGCATAACTCGAAACCAAACATAACAGTACACCGCATCGTGATAACTGAATTTAAGTTCAGGTCTTAAATTCTATTACATTTATTTAGTAGAAATAAGTTCATGATATGAAACAAGTTATGTTGCGAATAAAATTACCTTATATAACACATCTGACTGGACACACTATATCTATATATATTGATATGAAAATGATGTCTTCTTGTATGTACTTTTTAAAAGATCAAAGCTGAAAATTGTTTAAAGACAAATGCATAGGGATCATAAGCTATATTATTTCATAGTGATTTTCCTTGTTTAATTTAGTTTTTAAATAAACAAAGTTTTGAAAATTAATATTTCTTTATCTTGTATGTACTTTTTTTTCTAGCAGTTATCATGTCTACCGTTCAATGGTATTTATTAGTGATTTTGCAAAGTGTGTGTTTGAAAAGTGCCACTGCGACATTCTTTGTTAATGAATCAACGCATATTGAATTAAGAAAACTTTGCATCACACTTGCTTTACCTGCTAAAGCATCAGGTCCCGATTTCGACATGTTTGAAAACCTATATAATGATCAATTATTCAAAGCAGGGAATCATATATTTGATAACATGAATGATAACGAAGCTCGCATTAACACTACAGAAGCAGAATGCAGTTATTTAGATACTTCGACTGTTGGTTGTGTGTACTTACGTTTATATAAAATAGGACAATATGTGAAATACGATTTACAGAGACTCAGCAGTGTCCTAGACAGTGAACATGACAACAATTCATATATGTATTCAGCTCTGCTTTTGGCCTGGTACCTTGATCCAGTTTTATTAAAGTTAAATTGCGGCCCTGTTGATTTGATTTCAAAAATACCAGTAGCTCAGTGGATATATGCTGCCGAATTTGAAAATCATCTGTTAACACGATCTAATTTATGTTCATGGACTAAACCGTTCAGAAAGACTGTTTCTGAACATCTAATTTCTGAAGTTTCAGAGTGTTGTTTAATCAACCGTGACGACCCATATTGTCAACTGATTCCCTTTTTTGAATTGGCAGATTCTATAGATAATCTGTGTGGTTTGGTGACAGAGGCAGATTGGAATGAATCTTCACTGGAAATTAAAGCTGCAAAGTTTTCAATTTTTACCTTATTCCAAAGAGCACCTAAAAATATGCATCAAAATTCTAAGATACAAAAAAGTGAAATAACAAAAATAACAACAGAAATTCTAACTACGATTTATGATGAGTTCAGATCCAAACAATTGATCAAGACTAACAACCTTCTGAAAATACTTCCTAAAAGTTCTGCTGTTAAATGCAACTTTATGGCCGAATATCCATCATTTGATTGGCTTCTGTGTGCATTCGCTAAAACATTAGACCAATTAAGGGCATTTGTTCTTACGTATGGAACAGGGGTCTCTGGATATACTTCAAAAAGAAAGGTCTTGGTAACATCCATTGACTATAAAGAATACATAAAGAACATGCGAATCTCACAAATAAAAGAACTTAGCCAGGAAATGTCACTTGACCTGCAGGTTGCTGCTGTTCAAATAAAAAACGAAATTCAAGATCGCTTTCAACAACTAGGAACTTATTTCAAAAGCATAGCTCAGTTTGAAAGTAAAAAATTAACAGCAGATATAGATAGTATAAAATCTGATATTGATTCATACAACAATATTCACGAAAAAGCAAAAACAAAACTAAAGTCGTCAGTTGGGGTTCTTCTGCTTGCTTTTACTTCAGCCGCCGCAGGAGATTTAGTTGAAGCAGGAGTAAAATTAGCAGCACGTGCTGCAGAAGCATCAAATCCCCTTAAATGGATTTTTAATAGTGGTAATACAGTTGATGTTTTGGAAGCTACCGGTGAAGTAGCACAAGCTGCTGCAATTGTTGCTAAATCCGTTGCTAAAACAGGTTATTTGATAAAGCTTCAAAAACAGTCTGCTGAAATCAGCAAAAAAATAAACCAAAACGCACCCTTACTTCAGACAATCAAGAATATCATAGACAGAATCACACCAGAATCAATATCTGACGAAATGTTTTCCAACTGCAATCTAATTTTTTTATACATTATGAAAATTACTCTGGAAAGCTTGAAAAGTACGAGTTGACTGTTTTGAGTAGCTATTGGGAAGGTTTTATCGATGACCTTTGTTCATCAATTGAAGAAACAAGTGGTGTGGCATCAGCGGCGTTTAAAACAACAATATGGGCTACAAATGCTTGTCCAGATGCAAAAGCAGAAGCTATAAAGCTTGTGGTGTCATTAGAAGAAATCTTTGATTTTCAGGAAAATCTACTGGAGAAGATGGCTTCGTTGATGAGATCACTTACACAAATACAAAGCTCATCAATACTTGGTTCAGGAACACGTGCAAGGTTTCCTAGTAATTTAACAATTTTCGAAATAGAATCATTTGCAGCTGCATCTTACATATCAACGAGCATTGTACAATTTGCTAACGTGTATATGCTTTGTGACATCCTAGAATACAAAATGGGAAGACAACCAAATGACTGTCAAGGTATTTCTACAAATGTTGATAGGTTATTATCCTTGAAAGACGTAAGCTGCAATCCAATTTTAAAATATGTAGATCTGCCCACTCAACCAAACTCATTTAATGAAACAAATCGAAACTGGATAGATTTATCAAAAATATACAAAGGTGAAACTGTTCAATTTCAAATTCCGAACTCAAAATGGCTTATTGACAGAGGATGGATACCGGACGCCCATAAGAGCTTTGTGATTTATATTGACGGATTTGAAATGTACTTGCCAGTTCACAACAGTTTCTCGAATCAGGTAACCAAAAATATGTACAGTTAAAAATACATTTCATTCTTTTACTTTTATATTCTTCAAATAGTAAATATAGAATAAAAATATCTTTGTAAAAACAAACAGGGTTATATATACTAGTAAAAAAAGAAACGTTATATCAGTTTTTATTAGTTTTTGAAAACTTCGTGCATAATTTAATTATCTTGTGTCTGAACATTTAAAAGTGATGTTGTATTCTTATCGATTTTGGTCGTTTGAATATGTTTTAGAATGTTTTAACGTCGTTTTCAGAAATTGACGGTTTTATTTACTACTTTCTAAATAAAGCGTCATCCCGGTGTGTTTGAATTGTTATGAAGGTCACAAATTGTGTCGTTTAAATCAGTTAACAAAAGGTTAATTTGAAAACGATAAAAATCTACACGTAAGTCAACACCCTGCCCCATTTTCGTCAAGATGAGAGGGAAAGAACCATTGGGATGTTGCAAGCAGGAATGTCACAAAATGCAGTTGAAAACCAAATTAATTTATAGATTTGTGGTTCGTTTGGTGCACACAGGCACCCAATCTGGTCGCCCTCGTTCCGGAAGAGAAGACCTCGACCAACGACGTTACATCAGAACAGGCAAATTGGTCAGATGCAACTGCGCAATTGCTTTGTGACTGCAGCAACTACAGCCAGGCGTGTACCCGGAAGATCAAACAACAGAATTTCAGACAAAACTATCCGAAATCGTCTTCGTCAGTGTGGCCTACGGGCACGACGTCCGTTGAATGGAGCAATACTGAAACGACGTCACAGAGTTTCCCGGCTTCAATTGTGTCTTTATCTTCATAGAGGTTGATTTTTGAACGATGTGTTCATTGTTATAAAATATAAGTTGACATTTTATACATTATATGACATGAAATTTGTGTAAGTAAACGTTTCTTTTTTTACTAGTATATCTGTATCGCGATCTTCTATGTATAATTTTGAGACTTATTTTATGTTTGCATAATCGATTGATTTTACTTGTTTTCATCTAAAAAGATCTTTCAATACTAGACTAAGTAATGTACCACTTGATAATTTTGATTTCATTTTTTTATCATAAAAATGATGTAATTCCTTTTCATTTTATAACGACTTTTTTATTGAAATATTTCGCTTTTCATATTTTCATAAAAACTTTTTTTCTTGGAAGCTTGGAATAATAGAAAATATTTGATCTGATTTTTTTATATTTTTACAGACGACTTAATATATTATCATTTCTGTGCATAGGTAGAAGTGATTGTTACTCCAAGTAATACCGGAAACAGATTATATGATTACAAAGACGGAACTGAGTATATCATAACACCATCTATTCCTATGCGAATGTCATACTCTCTAGGCAAAGACCTTACCTGCCGTCAAGAACGTATTGAAAATCCATACCGTGTCTGCGATACTGATGGAGGGAATTTGATGCCACAGATATGCATTCACACACTAGGTAATAATGAAAAAACAACTATAATAGAGTAAAAGACCAAACCAACAGCCAGCTGTTGTAATATAAATATTTAGAATCGAAATGCTAGTTTACTACGGGGCAACTGTAGATGTTAGTTTACCGATGTTCAAAACTCGAAAATCATTTTGAATATACAAACCAAGAAAAGATTTCCTATGAACACGTATGAATTCCATTCGTACTACATGTTACAGTACAATGAAGCAGTTTCGGGTGTGTCGACAGGTTAAATTTTCCCTACAATGCAGTATAAAGACTCAAGATTCAATAGGGATCAAGCAGAACACATAGAAAATCTCAGTAATATTGACAAATTCTATTGCCTTAATTTTGATTTTATTTAGGTACTGATAGTGTCATCGATCCTGATAAAATCAAGCCATCAATATACGGTCAACTAGATATTAGAGTTTCCGGATTTGAAAAGTCCAAACTTTCAACACCTTCGACTAGAGTCCCAATCAAAGTTGGACTAAAATATTGCTTTATTGACCCATATGAACGGAGAACAAAGAGAAACACGTAAGACATTAACTAATAACAGTTTCTCATCATGAATCAACTACGTACTTCCAACAATACTTCTTCATTTTATAATTAACTTCTCGTGCATCTATGCAATTTATATACATACATAAACGTGTGCCACATATCACATTGGTGACAATCAAATACACAAATATAAATGTGTCACGTATCATATGAGTGACAAAAGTTATTTTTGATTTAACTTTATTTATTTTCCCATTTTACTAAATACTAGTATTGAGCGCCATTAATTGTACAATACACTCATTGAAAAAATAATTGCCAATTGTAAGATGATAGAACACCATAAAGTGTTGCAAAAAAAAACACTTGCACAAATCAGCTCAGGCTAAAATGTAAAAGCTAAATGCGCGTTTCGTGACTTCAGTGAAACCCATTTATACAGTTGAAATGCCAAATGTATAACGAAGTAGAGTAGAAAACCTTATCATTTTTGAATGATATTGATATTTTATGAACAGTGCAATGTCAGAAAAGGACCGTATTAACCACAATCATCGATCTAATACACGTGGTTGTAAGCACTCATCCAAGATACCAGGCTACGTCAGATACACGTTTCGTCTACATCAGAATCATCAATGGCGCTTGAATCAAAACAATGCGAATGCAAAATTTAAATCAAAAGTAAAGAGCATCGAAAGTCAAAAATCCAAAATTTGTGCCAAAAAGGTCAGCAAACCGCTAACAAAATTCATATGATAATTATCAATGTAAATGTCTCTTTATAGAAATATATTATCGTATCATAGGGTTGGAATTATTGTATTCAAACCATGATACTAATCGGAAATATACAAAAATTGCTTCCTGTCAAAAGGACTTATTTAAGATGTATGTGATGAAGTTTTGAGGAAACAAAAATATGTCTTAACTTTCAATTTATTTGTAATATTTTCATAGACAATTGCTATGTTCATAAAAAAATATTAATGCAATTACGTTGCAAGTGAAGATTCTAAACCCTTATGATTTGGAAACTCAAAATTTTCCATGTAAAATTTCATTATTGCTGTTGGCATTTTGATATTTAAATTTTGTCAAGGCCTTATCTAAAACAATAAGGACGACCACAATGACATTTTACAAAATTTCAGATCTCATGAAAAGTCAGCTATTTCATTATAATTTATGAGAAAATTATGAAAATATTGTTGTTCTTTTAGGGGACAGACGGTAGGTGACATATGCTGTAGCGGTAATAGTTTTTACCAGAATGGTCATTGTCAAGATTGCCCTCCAGGTACCATCTCAACGTATAATGGTTTGTTCTGTGGTGAGTTTTAAAATAAAGTTGGTTTTACATAGCTGAATAACATTTTAACCCGTGTTATATTCGAGTCCATGCATTGCAGAAGACGCTAACATTGTCAACGGATCGAGTTCATGCAATTCGAAAACCCTGTGTTTTTTGTACTTTACCTTTATTTGAAAATTAGATTTATGAGATTTGAAAATCGGTAAACTTCTCTTGATTTTCATGGATAAGTGCCGGATCATATCAAAAATAAGGTTATAAAAGAGAGGCGAAATATACCAAAGGGACATTCAAACTTATAAGTCGAAAATTAACTGATAACGCCATGGCTAAAAAAGAAAAAGACCAACAGACAAACAATAGTACACGAAACACAACATAGAAAACTAATGACTGAGCAACACAAACCCCACCAAGTGTCATGATTAAAATTCACGTTGAAAAGCGGCAACGCCTGTTCAATTTTATGACAAAATAAAGAACAGTTGAAGTTGCATCATTAAACTACTGTAACATCCTGTTTGATCGCAGCCTTATGTTAGCAATGGCCACTTTTCGACCATATCTAACCTTAATATGCCCGTAGGTTATGTTGTTTACACTCAATCATATCAAATTACGTGGTTTTTCTGGCTCTTGTGAAGGTTTTGCTTAGCAATTTTACAATTTGAGCATCAAAAAATCAAAATGAAGTTCTAAGTCTCTTAGGTGACTCTTTGCATTATTTTGCTCCTAATCAAAAATAAAAGAACAATTTTATCAGCAACCTTTGATATATTATATATTTCATTATATATATAGAGTTGGTTTAAGATTTGCTATGTTGTTTCACTGAAAAGATTTTTAAAAATAGATTCTTCGTAAAACTGAAAGCATGATGGTTGATAAGTACCGATAAAGCTAAAGAGTAAAGGAGGTGACTTCTTGTTATCCCTATTGATTCCTATATTGCATTACTATAGCGTATGCTTACCTGAATGATCTCTTGTACAATTTTTTTTAGTTAAAGTTATTGACGTCATTTATTCTGATCAAATTATGCAAGATTTCACATATGCCGATGCAGTGGCCGGATGTAAAAACAGTGGTAAGAAACTAGCGAGCAAAGATAGTCTCCTTCTCGCAAGAGATTTGGGAAGTCAGAGCTGTCTTTGTGGTTGGATAGAAGGCGGTATTGTCGATTCAGCAAGATCAAGAACCGATTGTGACGTACAAACACAATGTCAGGTTGATGAATATCTGAAATATGCATACTGTGATACATCACATGATCTTGTCACACTACCATTAATCAACAATCAAGAGTCGACGACAAGTGGATTATCAATTGGAGCAATTCTGGGGATTATTTTATCTTTCATTGTCATAGGTGCTCTAGTTGCTTTTGTTCTATACCAACGAAACAACCTGTGTAATGTGTAAGTATAAGTCATGAAAATTAAGACGTTCTTAATAAATTTACAGTTTATTTAATATGATTACGATTACATTGTTTGAAGAATATAGTCGTTCAAACAAATAAATGTTTACATTTTCAAGACACAAAATGGGGAAAGCAGATTTTTGTAGCAGTATTGATATAGCTACATGACATAGTTTAGTGGTATTCGTCACCGATGGCCATCGAATTACAGAGAGGACACACTATTTTGCCTCTTGGCAAATTTTGCCATTTCCAACGGTCTCGACTGGCAATCGGTGACTACCACTTTTAAATTTACAATGGATGTAAATATGATATGGGGATAAATCTTAGATACACTTTTTTAAACAGATATTAGTTTTGAACATTGTTTAGCACAATGCTTTAGGAGACTTAGATATAAGAAGATGTGGTATGAGTGCCAATGAGACAACTCTCCATCCAAGTAAAAATTTATAAAAGTAAACCACTATAGGTCACAGTACGGTCTTCAACACGGAGCCTTGGCTCACACCGAACCGTAAGCTATAAAAGGCCCCAAAAAATTACTAGTGTAAAACCATTCAAACGGGAAAACCAACGGTCTAATCTATATAAAAAACGAGAAACGAGAAACACTTATGAACCACATCAACAAACGACAACTACTGAAAATCAGATTCCTGACTTAGGACAGGTGCAAACAAATGCAGCGGGTTTAAACGTTTTAATGGTACCAAACCTTCACCCTTTTTCTGAAACATTAGTGTAACATCACAACATAGAAAGACACACTATAAAATATCAACTGAAATAGCTTAACTCAATCAAAAGACATATTAACACCATTGAACATACACTGAACAAATAAATTTGACCTATGACACAATGTTAATACAAAATAAATAAACTAAGGGAAGAATATTCAAAAAAGTAACATGTTATATCGGTAAGAAATGTTAAACAATTAAAGAAAAACAATATGCTCGAACATAAATACCATCCATTTGCAATAACTATAAACACAGGTAAATGAAAATAATTTTGTTGTCAGGTGTTCGTGTACAGTACCAATCGAGAAAGGAAATATTATTACCAAATGAATAATTTTGAAGTTCATAGTACGAAGTGAAAATTTATAGTTATACCAAACACTTATAAAAGCTGGTATATAGACCAGATATAACCCTGAATAACATTAAATAACAAAAAAGCAATACAATTAGTATCAACAGGTCAAATAAACAAGAAAGTACGATTTGAGAGTACTCGCAGTTACTGACAGCTAGTTAAAAGCCAAAACAATTTGCACATTTCTGAATACCAAAACTGTATAAATTTATTTTTAAGTTTCTGCTCAACACATTTTATAATCCATATTGACGAAAAATCAGTTTGGTTCTGCCAAATATTTGACATACCACAACAATCTAAAATATTCTTTATAAATTTCAACCACTTAGATTCATAACCATAATCTGTGTAGTGGACAAGTAGCAATTTATATAAAAATGAGGATAATTTCGTAACATTTCCTCTAACCACTCTTCACCAGATATTTATCCTACGTATCTTTATTTGTAGTTATGTATGGAAAATATCTAACTCACCATATAAGAAGAAAAGAAAAATTGAAAAGAAAGACAATTCATTTCGAAACATTCCTTCTATTTCAGAATCAGAAGACGAAACATTGGTATGCATAGCAATAGCACGTATCAAGACTTTGATATGGTTAAAGTGAACGAAAAGACCGTGAAATTATAAAACAAGAAATTACAATGACATGTTATAACATTGTTACTCCCCTTTGATTTGACAGTTTATATTGTTACTTTGGTATTAACTTGTGTTAATTACCTAGTTGTGTTTATATTTTTCACTGTGGTCTTCGTTCCTCACTTGATAAAGGCAGATGTCTGTTGTTGCGGTCTGTTCCGTATTTTACAGAAGGAATAGCTTACCTGGACCTAATATTATTAAATGACTTCGTTAAATCTACGTATTGAATTTATTCACAAGTTTGATTGTTCATTTTTGTATTTGATTACATTTACTCTCATAGTAACGCACCAAATGTAACATTATGTGTTCCTGTTCTTGTTTATGAAGAACTTGCGTATTACGTCACCAGTAAACGACGCTTTTGTATAAATATTAGAACAGAACGCATTTTCCAACTGGGAGATTCTCTCCAAGAACCTCACCACGATAAGCAGTAAATTTTAAACTATTATGATTTGCTGCAACAAGTACAAGTGCTTGATGAAAATATTTAATAGACTGGATAATTTAACCAAGTCTTCATATCAAAATGCTGAAGTACTGGTTGCTTGGGTAAATCGTTGACTATGCACTGAGTATGCCGAGTATTTGAATGCAGTGCACCAAGGAGATTCTTTTGCATCAAATATGTAGAGTACTAGTATTAGTATGCAGTATCTCGAGTAGATTGTCGGCTCCTAATGTCTGCAGAATTGTTTGGTTAAACTTGGTGCAAGTAATGTTCCTAGCTGTAATATATATATAAATGTATTTTATTTTATATGTCGTATGTTTTATGAACCACTGTTCTTGTTATTATTGAGTTTTACAGTAGCAGCAAATCATAAAATTTATGAACTTCCATTATAATTTTTGATTTTTCTTCCTTCACCGGAGGCCCACATATATACGTATCGCCGTGATTCCTGACTCGAAAACACCGGAACATTACAATATTTCAGTTTAAATTGTTCGTATTTTTAGTCATACATCTAACGTTTCTATATGTTTATAAATCGCTTGCTTTTCAATGTTTTGGTTTTTAGAGTTTCTGATGAAGGGAAATGCAAAAGCTTCGGACGCACTAAATCCATGAAATCGTGTTCCATTTTAGTGATATCACGGATTTATTAAATGAACGTCAAACATTTGAATCAATTAGTTGACGTCACCGTTTCAATAACAGTTTGGCATCTATTACGCCCCAAATGTGGGAAACATTATACATCGTGGTCAATTGCACCTTTCAGCTGAGATATTTTCTAAAGAGCTTGTAATAGGACAAGGCTTTTTTTGAAAAGATGACCTTCTGATATGTGATTAATATGGAACATTTGGAGTATTTGGCATTGAAATTTTAGGCAAAATTGTCACTGTTAAATATATATTTTAGTTGTAACAAACCTAGGACAAGACAAATTGGTCAAGTTTTAATTTTTTTCGGGGTGATGTATTATTTAAAACTAGGATATGACGTACCTTCTAAATCATCTTATACTTTTCTTAATTTGGTTAAATTTTGGTATCAATACTTAGGTTTAACCTCTTAAGGTTAACTGTTCTGATCTGACATACACATTAATCAATTTTGCTCTTTGTCGATTTGTATAAGAAAAGTTTTGAAAACTTTCCCCTGTACCTGTTTCTAAATTCTGCATTAATAGTCAGTATCGGAATTTTGGTGGAAATTAGTGTATTTTGATCCATAACGAATGCATTAAAACAAAACAAAAAAACAATATTCATCTTACATCCAGGTCAATCAATCATGAAAAACATATGCCTACCTATTTTAGAGTTAGTGCCCGGCAATATTGATTTTCAACTTTTCTGACATTCCCTTGCCATTATTTCAAATACTATAGGAGCTAGTTTAAAAGATTAAATTGCAAATAGGATCAGTATGGCATGATATATCCACCCTGAAATTTGCAGAAAAATCGCACTACTGGATTTGAGTAATTGCCCCTGAAATATCGATTTTTTTCCCAATTCTTAGCAGTTGTTGGCTATTACCGTAAAAATCATAGGAAACATGTATGTTAAAAGTGTCGCCCTGTTCCCATAAGAGTTATTGTCCCTGAAATATAATTGTTTTGTTGTATCTTGATAACTACAGGAGCTAAGTTAAAAGTGTAAAATGCAAAATGCAAAAATAATCAGCATGACAATATCTATCTATTCGAAAAGTTTCACAACCCTTTTTGGAGTTATAATCCCTGAAATGTAGATTTTTTTTTTTTTTTTTTTTTTTTTTTTTTTTTTTGCAATTTGGCTGTTATCTAGTAAATAAAACTATAGGAAATAGGTTAAACATGTAAATTAAGACATGATCAGCATCACAAGAGTAATTATAAAATGTGCATATAAAAGTTCTTATTAGCAAACTTTCGATTGTTTTACAAGGTGTGCGATACATGTGTGCCTCTTGTTTGGTTTAATTCATACATTTGTAGACATCTGTTTATCATCAAGCAGCAAATATAACATAAATATTCAAAAAACCTTATCAGATATTCACAAGGTAAAAAGAATGGTCAACAAAATAAGAAAAGAGAAAGACCCAAAAGGCCTTTAACATTTTTAAACCGTTAGGTCATTTTTTTGTACTGGGTTTATGTGGTTGAATCTAGTTTTTCTGTTTAATGTTTTAATTATTGTTGTATGACTTTTCTTCCTTTTTGTTTGGCAATGGTGTTGTCTTAATTAGACTTTTGATGTTTTTGTTGTCCACTTGATATTTTCTCTCTTCCTTTACTCTAGAAATTTTCAAAACACTAATGTTAATCCCTGAAATGAGTACTGATCATTTCACTAAGTAAACTCATATTAATTTATGGTTGCAGTAACCATATGAAAGAGAGGCGAGAGATAGTAAAGGAACAATCAAACTCATTAGTCGAAAACAAACTGACAATGCCATGGCTAGAAAAAAAATCAAAAGACAAAAAAAAACAGTATACAAAACACAGCACAGAAAATTAAAGACTGGGCAATACGAACCCCACCAAAACCGGGGATGACCTCGGGTGCTCATGAAGGGTAAGCAGATCATGGTCCACATGTAGCGCTCTTCATAAATCATTTGAAGATTTAACATGATTATTCTGGTCGATTATTCTAGTCGGAAAAAATAAGCGAAAATTAAGTAAAGTATGGTCAACCGGGAAAGTGTTGGAAATTCGGTAATACTGAAAACAAATAGTATGTTTGGTAGAGCAGAAATATTTCCGATGCTAAAGAACGCCTACAGATCCCTTGTGAGGTCATTTTCTTGCATATTACATGGTAATCTCCTAAGGTTGCTAAATGTCGCACATCAAAACAAACGGCCATGCATTACATATCGCGTGTTCAAATCATTTGGTCAACCTTGGGGAGGGGTGGTCTTGCTATCTTATTGGTTTCGTTTTTTATAACTAAATTCATTTGTGTGCAAACAAATTATAATACAATAGCTATGAATATTACAATGTAATCTCTCTCGTGAATTTCTAATAATGTTTTAATCGGTAGAAAATGGTGATCGCAACTGTAAAAATATTTCATTTCATATCTCTTAGTGATTTGATTGAAAAGAAATTCTGGTATCTTTGTTTTCGATTTGACATGGACTGAACTTATAACTCATTTAATGAGGAGCTTTTTAATGTCTTTGAAAATGAAGTCACTCATGAAAAGGTCTTTTAATGTTTTTGAAAACAGAGTCACTCATGAACAGGCCTTTTATGTCTTTGAAAGTAAAATATAAATGTACATTTAAAACTAGGTTAAAGAAGAACACATAGTTAAAATAAACATGTTATACTGGTAGTTTAATTTACCAATCACGTCTTGATCAATATAAAGCTACACAAAATATTCATATAGATTCAATGCGATATTTAAGTACGTCAATATTTTGAGATTTAAATATACCAATGTAAATAGTTAAGGATTAAAATAAAATGGATTTACTTTTTTAGCTTCACATAGAAAAATATCATGAAGGTGTCTTTTGCTTTTGCATTGTTATCACTTGCCTATGCAACTCCTGAACAGTCCGTTCTAGAATACTTCCCGGTATTCAATGAGGCAAAATCTAACATTGATGAGCTGAAGCAGTTGATGGCTGACTTAAAAGCAGAGGTTGAAGATTTGAAAGCTGAAAACCAACGACTCCGGGAGGAACTTAACGGTAATTATGAATAAGCATAATTATTTAATCATGATACATGAATATGAAAATTTTTGATTTTTGTCCTGCATTGTTAAATGCTTTTACAAATAGGCCCTTAGTAGTACATGCATATCAATTTTTTACAGCTAAGCGTTAATTGATTGTCCTTTTTTGGTTATAAAAAGGAATATCTTCTGGCGTTTATAATAAAGGGATCTGAATTTAAAGGGCATTCACCCTACCTATTTTAAATTGATTCAAGATTTCCCTATGTCATATTATCATGAAGGATAGTCTGTATCTTCAATCGGTTTGACAAATATTCATGTTTGCAACCTAAACAACGCAATTTGTACATGAAGTAGTAAAGTGAGTGCAAAGAAATGTTGAACTCTCACTTCTAATATATAATATATGTACAACTGTATGAAAGAGTTAAACAGAACAAGTTTTATGTTGTCTTTTGTAGCAACGAGAGTTGCATTCTATGCATATATCTCGGTTGACAGAGGAATAGATTGGTTTTCTCTAAATAAGAAAATCATTTACGACAAAGTCAATCTTAACATTGGTGATGGCTACGATGTTTTGACTGGTGTTTTCACTGCACCATCTAGCGGAACGTATATTTTTAACACAGGTAAGTAAGATAAGTAGTGAACAAACATATATTTATTTCACCATGTTCTTTTGTTGGAATAATGAATAATTAATTTTAAATTTTTAAATTTCGTTGGAAAAATAATTTGTACAAAGTTAACGTATTTATTAAGAAAATCGATCATGGAAAGTCTCTTGTTGTCAGTGTGTGTTTTCTAATGTGTGGATATTTGAAATACTTTATTAACAAAGTTCAACGTGGAATACACATGTCGGGAGACACAGAAAAAGTTTCATCGTCCAGTATATTGGATAGTTCGGGGAAAGGCTTAGACCTCATTCAACACAGTATTGTAAAAGATAATTGCACACACATTTAAAAAAAGATAATCAAACCCGCAATTTAAAAAAAAAAATAACAACATGATCGAAACCTTTGTTTTACAGTAAGTGTTGCATATAATAAGTCGTACATGACACTGTTATTGAAAATAAATGGTAATACAGCTGATATAGCATTCCCTGATGCTTATAACCATGATGATAGGAGTACTGCAACTACTGTCACCATAGTGATGTTACTAAAGGGTGATCAAGTTTACGCTGTAAATGGAGACAAAAAGGGCGGAAGAATGATGGAAAGTGGTGATCATGACGCTAGGTGTAGTTTCTCCGGATACAGATTATATTAACAATGACCTACGTTATAAGATTTATACAGTTTATCGTCATTTACTAATGTATTTCTACTGTTGTACAGATGAAGCTGTAAAGTGTAAATAATTAATATTTTATTATTGTTTGCTAAAATGGTATTCTAATTTGTTTTAATTTGTCGTCGTACTATAAAATGACAGGGATTTGGTTTACAATTAAATATAGATTAACATGATGTATGTTGTAAGTGCATAAATGCTGACTGTCTAACATTGTTAAATGGTGAGTCTGCTTGACACTGGCAACATTTGTCTCGGAACAGAAAATTGCAGGTTCGCTTATTTGGGAGAGAGGAAAGAGTAATTGGTTTTATTAATTATTTTAAGCTTCAATTTTTTTTCGCTACAAGTTACTGCATGTTGTGCATCCAATATAAATGGATGGATATGCAAATGATACATAGGATTCAGAATTTATTTTAGGATTCAAATATTTATGATGGTATTTGTAATTTAATTGGTGTAACACAGGAATACGGACTCATCCCTTGTATTTCACTTTTTTTTTAAGTTTAGAGGTGAATATCGTCTGCGATGGGATTCAATATTATTTTGAGTAGTTATTTAAAAGTTTCTGTAATTAAAACATTATGGCGTATTCAATAAAAATGTCTGTGTATTTGTTTTACATAATTTATGAGACTAATGAATATTTATCTAAGTTTTTCTGTTTTTTACTTCGCACGTGCATGTTTACATTATACGATTTCAGCGGGACAACGTGAAAGAACAATAACCATCTAAGTTTTACGATAACCATTACGAATAAGTTGACTGACATCAAGTTTCTGTTTGTGAAAGTACAAGAGACATGATTTCGCGGTCTGAGTTCTGCTTTTGAAATACCAGAAAAGTGGTCTGATCTGTAAAAACCACCGATTGCTTCATATTCTTTGTTGTGTTTCTTATTTCCATTTTGGATTCGCATGCATGTCGGATAATACATGCAAAGCATGAGACGTGATACCATGTCGACGCACCAGGCTTCGTTTCGTTTGGATTTTTTAAAGTTTGTTTAGACGAATGTACGGGCTTAGACCATAGGTACACTACTGTTGCCTCTAAGTTGTATTTTCCAAGCGGAAACTGAACCACTAGAAATCTACATTTAATCAAGAGCGTAGTTTTAATCTTATGAAAGTATGCAAACAGTGATGGTACCAATTTTTCCGGCATTTTTTTTAATTTTATTTGTCTTCAATTTATAGCAATGTCCATCTAATTCTTTTGAAAACATGAAAATTGCTTCTTAAATGCCTCGCATTCTACATGTGAACGCAAAGTGGAGACAATTTGAGGCTGTTTCTACAATGTAATGATGGTTGCAGCCGTCTGACGAAATCAGAGACGATAGATCATTGTGAGAGCACCATAACCACGATCAAAAAGTCAATGATATTATGATGAAATAAACCCCTTATACTCGTGATACTCGGGTTTTAGGTGGGGCTTGTGTTTCTTTGGTTTTTTTATGTTGTGTTTTGTAGACTGTTGTTTGTCGTTTTTAATTTTGTTTCCAAGGCGTTGTCAGCTTGTGTTCGACTTATCAGTTGGTATCTTCCACATCTCTTATACTCCTGACGATAGCTTACCTTTACTTCTTTCAATATTTTTAATCACCCGGCAATTTGTCCTTATAAAAGATATCAGTAGAAATGAAAATTGAAATTATAATGCTTTTCATTTTGTCGTTAAAATAAATATAATTGCTCATGCGTGTCAATTTTGTTCTCGTGTTAGCGTGTTTGCCTCTAGTGCGGGAGGTCGTGGGTTCGAACCCCGGCCGGGTCAAACCAAAGACTTTAAAATTGGTATTTGCTGCTTCTCCGCTAAGCACGCAGCATTAAGGAGTTAAAGCAAAGACTGGTCGGCTCAGAGTCAGAAAAATGTGTCCGGGTACGGTGATATGTCTTCCTGCGGACTGTTACCTTGTGAACTAGCACGTTAAAAATCCGGCTCAGCTTGTCGGTCTAGTACAAAGTAGGGTAAATGTCCATATTACATTGACATGTTCTCGTCCTGAATATGCATATTAATTTGCCGCTGGACGTTCAGCAGTCATCCATCATCATTCAATTTTTGAGAGGAAATTACTTAAAAGGGCCAAATGTGAACAACCGTTACCAGGAAAATTTATTCGGGTTAAATTTCGAGTTCGATACGGGGTAAATCAGCTACAAAGTGTTTGAAATAAAGTGGAGAAATAAATAGTCAAAGCTACGTCTACTCGTCCAGAAATTGAAGAAAGAATATGTTCTATTCATGTCTTTGCTGTAAATATAAAGAAGAACGTTTAAGTTATCGCCCTTTTTATGCTTTAGCATTGAAGTTGTCATGCCACCGAGCATCCTGGGTAATAGTATGATAAATACAAATTATCTCAATATAGGTTTACATGAAAATGAAAAACAAATTAGGATGATTTAACCGTGGAGAAATAGGAGTGATTTATAGTTTTTGATTGTAACCGTTTTGTACTGACATGTCTTCCTGGGGGCTGTTACCTTGTGAACTAGCACGTTAAAAACCCGGCTCAGCGTGTCGGTCTAGGACAAAGCAGGGTTAATATTCATACTACATTAACATTTTTCTCGTCCTGAATATGCATATTAATTTGCCGCTGGACAATAAGCAGCCATTCATCCTCATCATCATCCGTTTTGTCCGTGTTTTTTTTTTTATTAATTTAAAAACATTTGTATATTGATCTAGATGAATCATTTCAGACTCTACTGAATGCGTATTAGGGTAATATAAATTTACATACCAATAAAATGGTTAATTTGACTTAGTGTAATAAGCCATTTTACTATGTTCTCGTATTGCTATATTCTAATATTTGTGACTTGGCCTTTATTATGCTTTTTAAAAAAAACGTATAAATATATCTTTTAACAATGTTTATTTGAAAGGTTCGTGAAATTCACATCCACCGTTCATAAAAGTAAAACGACTTTTAACTCGAAATTAAATAATGCAGTGAATGTGTATGCACAATCTAATTAAAATATAGATCTCGGATTTCGTAATACTACGTTATACTACATACGTATGTAGTATATCGTAGTATAACGAAATCCGAGATCTATATTTTAATTAGATTGGTGTATGCAGTAACGCTGACAGAAAACACATAGTTATCTCGTGTTTTATCTGAATATCAAACATTTCTTCTAACTAATTCAATGGGAAATGTTACGCAATGTATCATTTTCTAGTCTTTCTTCCTGTGATAAGATTCTGATATTGCGAACAAGACTTAGTGAACAAATCTAGCAACAATGGGACACTGGACGTTTATTATCGATTATCGCGGTAACAGTTATTTTTCCTGAAGCTGATCGCCACCCCTTGCAATTAATATCAGATTCTTTGGTGAAAAACACTTCATTGAGGTATAACTTAAGGCAGCCAATGACGAGGTTCTTGGCTTGCCATGAACATGCAGTGATTTAAAAAAAAAAACTAATCAATTTGGGACTTTAAACGAGCATTGTGTCTATATATGACTCATCAGTGGCGTTCAAATCAAAACAGTTAGACTTCCAAGACAAGTATAAAGTGACGAACATTTAAAAAAGCAAACATTCCTAATGTGACAAATACGGATAATTCATATATGTATGGTGGTAGACATAATTTAACAGTTCAAAGCAGAACATTTACAGTAAATGATCGTTTAAATGATATTTCGTGTCATTGAAGAAGCGTCGACTACTGGGATGTTTATAGTCGCACTAAAAACATTTCAAATTTACCAGGCTTATAATTTGGTACGCCAGGTCTACATGGAAAACCCATTAGTTGCGCTTGAAACAAAACAGTTTGAAAACCGAATCAAAGAGAATTTAAAACCAAAAATTAAAATAAAACGTTTTTGTAGATCTCAACTTCTCTCCTTTTTATTTTTATCAGTTGGATACAATGAATTCATAAACATCAAGTTGATGTATAATACCTTCTATAACAGACAACAAAAGCACAGGTGAAAGCAATCAAACAATGTTAAAGTGACTTAGATCACGCTTAAAGTACTTTTAAAATTGCTCCTTTACAAATTATTTCGTTCTATTGAATAAAGAGCATTTTGTCTTCACATAAGTATTTTTTATGTGAATAAAACAATGCCGTATTCTGTACAAATGAAAATTTACAAAATTACCACAATAAATGATATTGTATCGAAAGTTGTTATGTAAGATGTCGTCATGGAATATCACAAGGTAAGCATTCCCATGAGAGCGTTTCAAACAAGAAAAACTTTGTCTTTTTCTTCGCTCATCCTGTTCAGGAGAAATAATGTAATGTCATGTTCGTTATCAAATATTAACCGCATTGACAATAGCTATTTGCCAAGTCTGTTCTCATTTGTTTGTGACAGAATGTGAGACGAGAGTCCATTTTTTAGAAGCACTAATATTAAGTAAACGAAAAACGACAGAACAATTAAGCACCAATACTTAAGTCGATAAAACAGTGATATATATATATTTCTCTAATTCTTCGTCAATTTATCCCTTTCTGCACCCATTGTATAAAAAAAATTTAATCAACGTGTGGTTCGTTTGATCTCAGTTCTTCATTGGTTAAAATCCGATTATGACGTCGAATTTTCTTGCTTTCCTCTGAATTTCCTATTGTGACGGCATGAAAAAAGGCGACCATGCCTGATGACATCACATAGAAAGAACACATCTTTTTGCAGATCATTCGAAAAGAAGGAATAAATTTGCCTGCGTATTGTTTGAAAATCATTAGAGAAACAGATTCCACCACCAAATCTCGTGTAATACGATATTTATCCACTCTCGACAGTTAAATTTTAAATATTTAAAACGCTCGGCGAGCCTCGCGTTTTAAATTTGAAAATTTAACTGTCTCGAGTGGATAAATATCGTATCACACTCGATGCAGTGGTAGAATCTATATATATTGGTATTAAATTTATAGGGAAAACGGTACTATTACATTTTCCCAGCATTAGGTTGGTCTTTTGTGTACCCAAGGCAGGTGAAGGAAGTCAACCTAGGAGCGCTGTGATTGGATGTAAGGGTACAATATATTTTTTTATTTATCTATGAATAACTGCAGTGTGTATATTTACAATATAAATTTTGAAACCCATTGAAATATTTTCTAGAGAATTATTCGAAAAGACTTCCAAAATTTCATAAATTTAATGCAAAATGACGGTGGGCATGGATAACATAAACAAGCTCCGTTGGAAGTTGGTCATGATACTATTTGGCTTCAATTTTTAAAACAGAGTAATAAAGTACTAACACCACACATAACTGTTTTGTCCAGGTTTTTATTATAAAAAGTGGTAAATTTAGAAAATGTTAGTAGTGTCGCCTATGGCAGAATAAATAGTACCGTTTTCCCTATACTGAAGATAGCAAGGGAAACCAAAATCAATCAGACTTCAGTTATATTACACTATTTTGAAGCTTTTGATTAATACATATGAATTTTATCACCAAGAATAGAAATTTTTCACTGAGACAAATACTGTGCTGAGAAAAGTGCTGAGTCATCATAATAAGTCAAATTGATGGGTACTGATATAAAACTTCATTCTAGGATTTCAATATTAACTATATTGTATAAAATGCACCTAACTTTAGTTCTTTTGTATTTGTTTTCACCTTTGGCAATGAT